TCCTCCTTCCTTTTCTTCCAAAATTTTGGTTATTGTTTTGCTTTGTCTTTCCCTTAAATGAATCTTATATCTGGTAACCTGAACAACTAATTTGAAAATAGCATCATGTAGCACAACAGTCGTTGTTGAATTCCTATTACTTGTTTAGTGACATTTTGTAATGTTTCTAATGTAGTTTTCTTCAATCACTATTTTGTATTCTTTAAAAAATAGTACAAGAAATTTTTTTCACAAAATATATGTGTAATGATACATTGTGTCAACTTGAGAAACCTAGAACTTTAATCAGCTCAGCAGGTGGTCAGAGTCCTCAATTACAAAAATCCTCATCCTGGGCAAGAGGAGGGCATGAAGATGGTGTGAGTGTGACACACGCTGTAGGGTGGAGAGTCTGCATACAATTCAAAGGGGAAATAGGCTTGCTCTGGCCCCTTTTTGCTCGTGATGCTTTTGCTGTCTACTGCTGTCTTGGACAGTTTCCCTGGGCCAAGCCACCCTACCTTGGAGCCACCTGATGGTGGACTGAAGCCACAAACCATGAGCTAAGTAAACCTTTCTTTTCTTAATTTTGGGTGTTGAGTATTTTGTCTCAGCAACAAGAGAAAAGTAACCAAAACAATGTGTAAATATATTTTTCTATTTCACTAGTAAATATTTTCCATTGCTGCAGAAGAAATCTGATTTCAGGTTATAGCATCTTTATTCTCTTAAACTCTAAATGTCAGGAATTCATAGTTAGGGTATGCATTTATTTTTTTAGTTTTGTACATAAATATTGTAACATAAACATATATGTCTTACAAAATATGTAATATTTTGTATGTTTTACACAATATATTTTGTAATATATTGTAATGTTTTATATATACACAGGACATATGTGTGCATATAGTAAACTAAAAGAATCATATTAGATATATATGTATATACCTTATACTTTCATGTATGTTTGCCATCATTTTAATACTATTAAAGAAAAGTTTCTGCATCAATCAATTTTTAATTTGGGATGCATTTCCTTTGGTTTCAGTTGAGGAGGCTTCAAAGATTTATAGCATCGGTAAAAATATATGAAATCTATGAATAATATTTTTGTGAGTTCATGATATGTGAATCTTCAGCTTGCCCAAAGGTTAATAACAAATATGCAAACCACAATGCAACTAGAGGTGGTACTAATAAGTGAATGAATTAGACCTATGTTTGTACACATATTCTCTCCCTAATGTAAGAACTAAAGAATAAACACTATCTGAATGGTACAATAAATATATTAAAAGTGAAAAAACTCAATATAAGGAAAAACAAGATGAAGGAAAAATAGAAAAAATAAGAAGGGGAAAAATCAAGTAAGTATACATACAAAATAGCTAAGATGATTGTACAAGTAATTTTTATTGTTGTTTGAAGGTAGCAGTTAATGAGTAAAATATTTACTTTGACCAATTTTATATGCTCATATCTATAAGCTGAGAAAATACATTGAAGACAGTAATATGCAATATAAAAACCAGTGTTGAATACCTTTCATCTTGTTTCTTTTTAATGTGTATCATTTCTAATGTCTTATCTATTATTTTTACACTTTCTTTAAAATAAATTAAAAATGAAAAGGACCCAAAACATTGCAAGGTTTATATAAAGGACAGGTTAATGTTTTTTTTTTTTTTTAAGACACTTTTTTTTAATTTATTTATTTTGTGTGTGTGTGTGTGTGTGTGTGTGTGTGTGTGTGGCCAGCTCAGCCCACCAGGGGGCGGGGCTGGCTGGCATGTGCTGCTAGGGGATTGAACCGCGGTCCTTGTGCTTTGCTAAGCTTGTTCTAAGTAGGTGCTTTAGACCACTGAGCCATCTCACCAGCCCCGAGGTTGATGTTTTAACTGTTTGATCAACCTCATATGCCTGTATCTGGTGGTCTGAGAAATGAATTTGATGACAATAATATGTAATATAACTAGCAACCATTGTTAGTTTCCTGTTCTTGTTTTGAAATTCTGTATAATTTTTACTGTTGTATGGTGCTTTGTCTTTGTTCTTGTTAATTGCTTTTGTTTCCTTCCTCTTAAAATAAATAAAAAGTATTCAAGCCTCAGCTGAGTAGTAGTAGAGAAGTGTACACACCACACCTTGGTGTCTGGTTTTATAGCCAAACTTTTCTACATCTTTGAAAAATGCTTTGAGTTGTTTAATAGCTCTGAGCTTCAATTTCCTAATCTATAAAATATAGATAATAACAGTATACTTCACAGTTGAATATACAATGAAGTTAATGAAGCATAAATTTGATGCCCTGCCATAGTGACAAGATGATTTAATTTGATTTGCAAAACTGTGTACTCCTTTGAATAAAGATTCTCTCTGAATTGGGTGGCGTCACAATCTGCCAAACTATGGGCTTTCTCATGTGCTTCACAGACTGCTCCAGAGATTGAGTTATACAGTAAGTAGTATATGGCTCCTAGACTATGCCTTAAAAAGATAATATGAGATTACTGATTATCGTGATTATCAAATATGGTAAACAATTTGATGGGTTTTATTTTTTCATGTGCTAAATATGACTGAATAATTCCCATCTAAATAACATGATGTGGAGTGACTTACAGAGAATGTTAATGTGCTAACAGTTATCTCAGTAAGTTTTTAAAAAAGAAACATATTGACTCATGTTAGATTTATTGATGCATACTTAAGAACAGGGTAGCTTTTAGTATTTAATCAAGATCATGATTGCTCTCACAAATTAGGACATTTATTTAGAAAATAGTGGTATCATGCAGAGAAAAATTATCTAAGTGGGATCCCACACACTTGTCAGCTGGCTATTGTAAGACAGGATGAGAATGTGAAAGAATTTTACAAGCCTTAATACATCTATACAAAATCAACCCAATTGTTAAGGATTTAACAATGCATACTAATATGGACATGCAAGTTCTGAGTCATTGTTTTACAATTCAAAATCTGTTTTGCATTCATAAGGTAAGCTATTATAAATAGTACTCTTTTACAATTCATAATACAAATGTCATCATGTGTTCTAATCACATATGGTACCTAGAAGTTAACAGATATGAGTTATTTCTATAATTTATGATAATCACACAAAATGCCGTAACAGTATTGATATATGATTAAGCTGTGCAAGGTTACACACTGAATTTACTTGTGTAATACATATTAGTTATGAATAAGATTTGTCCAACAGGAAAATATGATTTGCATTTCAAATAATAAGAGCATAAGTATTATATCTCACTGAATCATTAAGTCAATATAGGAAGGTATTTTATGCTATAAAATATAATGAATTTAAGGTCAATATGCTATAGTTTGCTCCAGGAAAAACCAAAATATTAAAGTAATATTAATTTATACACATATTAAACTGCTCAACTAACTTTAATGAGATGTCCATGTGCTTCTGTGAATATACAGGGTCATAATGTAAAGTTCTGTTCTGAGAAAAATGCTTAGCTTTTCTTTTTTTTTTTTAATTTATGAATTTTGTACACAGCTTGGACTTATAGTGATCCTCCTGTTTTCAGCTTCCCAAAAGCTGGGATTACAGACAAGAGCACCCATGCCCATTCTTAGTCGCCATCTCAGCGTGCCTGGGGGCAGGGCCGGCACGGCATGCTGGGGATTAAACCCCTGTCCGTGTGCCTGACTAAGCGGCTGCTATAGTCCACGGAACTATCTGGCCAGACTTACTTAGCTTTTCTGAGTCAGTCCTGAAATAGTCTAACGAATTAGCCAAGCAGTGGGAAAAGTGGGCCGAGTAATTCTGCTCTGCTCAGTAGGAAGAGAAAAGTTAGCCCATTATTTTCAAGTAGTCAGTTGAATAGTCACAATCATAGTGCCATTTCCTGCTTTGTGCCCTGCCCATTTAGTAAAACCGAATTGGTCACCAGGTTTTTGTTGGTATTGCTTTTCAGAGATGTCACCCGCACTGCCGAAGAGCTGAGTAAGTAACTGGTGGATCTCTCTGGATAGGGCTTCGTTCTACAACACAGCTGGCTGTTGAAATGCTTCCTGAAGCTTTCACTGAGTAGGTACAGAGCAAATGGATTGACACAAGAATTGCAAAAGCTCAGAACTCTGGCAACTAAGGTGACAATCATGTGACCTAGGGATGGATCAATCTCCTTGTAGTTGAAAGACCGATACAGGTAGAGGACATGATTTGGAAACCAACAGAAGATAAAGCAACCCACAAAGACCAGGACAATCTTAGCCAAGCGTTTCCGTGTTTCCATCTGTAAAGAGAAGGAAATGATTCCTTTGCTTCAAATGCTTGGAACCAACCACATCCAAAACTTATGTCACAAGTCAGTAAAATTTGCAGCATGAAAATTATTATTTTGGAGCAACCTGCTCAGGTTCCCCTTCTGTTCCTGTCTTGGACAGAAGCTTTCTTTCTCTCAATAAATATTCAGCTTTTAACCTCCATTTGTTCCTAAAATTTATTCCTTCGTTTTAGAGAACACGAATTCATCTAGGTACCTTTCAGGTTGGAGTTTCATTTTTCCTCTATATCATTTGGAGGTTCCCACCGAGATCATTGGACGGAGATTATGGGAATCTCACAGTCAAAGTCTCTTACTCCTTTAGAGTGCATCATTATGCACTGGAAGATGTTTGAGCCAAACATGCTGAAAAAGAGCCATTTAATGTTTTCTGCACATGTGCATGGCCTGAATACCCCCTAGAGCCAAAATGAAATGCAGAGGGAAGTATCAATTATGACTCTATTTTACAACCAGAAAGATATTATAAAAAAGAAAGAAAATGGTCAGAAATGTCTTATGTTCAAATGTGTTTGTTTTTTGGTGTTTTGGTTTTTGGTTTTTGGTTTTTGGGGATTTTTTTGCATTAAGAAATAGGCCTCTTTTAGTTTTAAAATATAGACATGAGCCACAGGAAGACTCTGAATCCTACCCCAGAGCCTGAGCCTTCTCTCCAAGCTTTGGAGCCTGACGACAAGATCACCTTAACCACAGCCGCATCCACCATTACCAGACCTACTTGGGAGGGACCATACACAGTGAACCTGTCCACAGCTTCAGCTGTCAAGACAACTGGCCAGAACTCTTGGATACATCACACCAGACCCAAACTCTGGGAACCAGAAACTGTTGCTGGAAGTGAACAACCATCTGAATACACCTGCAAGCCCATAGAAGACTTAAGATTCCTGTTCAAGAAAAAAGAAAAGTCCTCAGAAAGGGAAAGGTGCTAGTTAGGAGGTCATTCCAAGCACAGGTGGTCTCAACAGTTCCAAAAAAACCTGTGTCCTCAGATTCTTCTCCTTCTAAGATTTCTGCAATGAGATTCACACCCCAAAATACAGATTGGGACAGATGCCCACCCTCACACCTGTGCAAAGAGCCAGGGTCACCTGACTCTGCTGATTTTCTCCAGTCCAGGAAGGCTTGAGCAAGGCAGCCTTCATCTTTTCCTTTAGACACTAGAGAGATGACCCAGCATGCAAAGGAGTCCCTAAAGTTCTAGGCAGATAAACCACCCTGACATAGATGCTGCTAACAGCTCTGCAGATGGAGCACCATTCTTCCACTGGGAGTGACAATCCAGGCCAGCTGTGGCCTCTCTGTGCTATTCTTTTTTTTTTTTTTTTTTTTTTTTTTTTTGAACTGGGGATTAGAACTAGGGCCCTTGCACTTACCAGGGAAGCACTTATTCCACTGAGCCATCTCCCTGATCCCCTCTTTTTGCTATTCTTGGTCATGCATGTGGTGGGCATCCTGTATAATGTTCTCATTGTTCAGGCCAATCCCACCCTTGGTGTACCCCTGTACTTTCTGCTGGCTCATCTGTCCTGTGGGAATCTCTGCTTTACCTCTGTCACTGTCCCCAAAATGGTGGCAACTTGTTGGCTCATGGCTACCCCTTATTCCTAACAGCCTACCTGATCCAGGTATACATCTTCATTACCCTGAATGCTCCCTATAGCTGTCTCCTAACTACTATGGTTTATGACCACTTCATCCCTACCCAGCACCCCCTCTACTATGCCACGTGGATGTCCCAGGCTATGTGCATGGCCATGGTGAAGATGGCTTGGCTGACATTACTTGTCCACTTCTTCTTACATATCCTGTTCATGGCCCACCTGTCCTTCATGTGCCTCCCTCCAAGTGTCCCATGTGTTCTAAATCCACCAGCCTCTCAATATTTATGCTCTGACTCGCGCCATATCTAGTGACTCATTTTCGCCATGGGTGCCTCAGGGGTGGTCAGTTCTCTCTTGCTCATTCTCATCTCCTACAGGACCAGCACAGCTACCATGCTTCAGCGGCCCTCTGCCTCCTGGATGCTCTGGTCTCTGTCCACCTATGGCTCCTACATGGCTGTAGCTGGACTCCTCTATGGGAAAGCTATCAGTCTAACTTTAGCTCACATCCTAATATGAGCCAGAGTGGGGTTGTGTGGTCACCATCATGTACACCAAAGTTAGCCCATGCTGAGCCCTGTCATCTACAGGCTCCAGAATCATAAAAGTAAAAGGGGTACTCTGAGCCCTTTTTACTGGATAAAAGATCTTCGCTGGTGACTCCTGAAGGTTGGATCCCACTAGAGACAGACTGCATCATTCATTGACAAATAAGAATGAGATCTTCTGTTCTCTACCTTCAAAAATTATAACAATAATTAGCATTTGCAGAGCACCTACCATGAGGAAGTTCCTTGAAGAATCATATTTTATTCCCGCACATGGAAACCAAAAACATATTAAGATCCAGTTTTACCAATAAGGAAACTGGAGTTCATAAATAAGATACAATTATTAGGGGACAAACTCTCAACCTTTAATTAAGATTTATCACATACAGGTACAAACTCCCTATGATGAATGGCATTATGTATATTTAAATTGTATCAATAGACTTAACAAGAAAGAAAAAAGAAAGAAAGAAAGAAAGAAAGAAAGAAAGAAAGAAAGAAAGAAAGAAAAGGAAAGAAAAGAAAAAAGAGAAAAGAAAAGAATCAAAATAGCCAAGCAGGGGCTGGCAAGATAGCTCAGCTGAATATATATATATATATATAATTTGAAATTTAAATTCTTGACTCACATAAACCAAAGGAAGCTGCTAGAACTGAACACTGTGAATACTACTATGCTGGCTTACCTTTACAAATAAAAATATATTTTTTCTTCCATAAAATTTACATGCTGTGTTTACTGCCTCATAAGATGATCTTTAGAAATTCAATAGATAAGATTCAGGTATTCAACATTAATATTTGTAATCTGAGAAACAATATTCTAACATCTACAGTCCAAGATTTAGCTTATGTTTTCACAGTATGCTTAAATATTTACACAAGGCAACACAAATGTAAAAGATGTAATGTTAGAAGATATTAGCAGTAGTCATCATGATATTTTCTGAGATCATCAAGTAGAATATTCCAAAGAATATTAGAAAGTTTCTAGGATTGCACCTAGATGATATCAAGGAGAATGTAGCAGTCCAACCCCGTGACAAGTCAGATAACCTGGCAATGTTATCACTCACAAAGAGGTCACTTGTGAAGTTTGCTCATTCCTCACACTATCCTTCCTGAGCAGGTGGAACATGCTTGTGCGAGATCCCTGACAGTCTATAGCTGAGACCCCAACATAGAGTTTAGCTGGTAATTTTCAGATGACCTCTTCACAGGCATTAAGATCCACTTGCCCAGTCAGAGTTTGTAGATACCAAAGAGAAATTAACAAGAGCAAGGCAGAACCAAAGCCATGAGGAAAGCAAGCAGAAGGAACTAACTTTAGAAACGAGTAGCCATAGCCAAAATGTAAGTATCTAAATTCAATTACAAGGCTCTAAAATTTTTTTGAAAAGTATTTCTATGCAGTAATAGCACAATGAGCTACAGCCTGCGCATTTGGCTACAGTAATGCCAGGTATTTGGAGAATGAATTCATTAATTTATTAATTTATCTGAAAATGTCTTTGAAGATGGGTTGACTTTTTAAATCTTAAAAACAGATATGAAGCATTGGAGTCTATGGTTGCAATTAAGGAAAGTTACCTACCATGCAAGAAAGCTTTACCAGGTTCTACAGTTGACTACAGGGTCTGAGAAGGCAGACTTTTACTCTATTTATACCCCAGTAACTTTTCTTTTTGCCTCAAATTAGGTAGACTTGCTTTCCTGTACTGACAGAACCCCCTTTAGAAGTTCTTTGCTAGGAAGTTCATGCACAATGTATAACTACATATTTTTAAAAAAAAAAAATTCTATCCCTTTGTAGATCAACACAATTAGTTTTATCTGAAAGTAATAGTGCCTGTTCTTTAAATTAGGAAAAATATATAAAAGTGTATGTAACTTCTGTAGTGAAAGTTATGCATTTGCAACAGGTCAAGTATTTCCCACACCAACCCTCATTGGGATTATCCTCATGCAATTTCCTCTGCTTTGCTTTTCCTAGGACCTCCCTGCTGGTGTTCTCTCCAAGCCCACTCCTCACGTCCCAGGCAATATCCCAAGGTACCTCCTCCTGTGTCCTACTACCATTCTGTTTTTTTTTTGTTTTGTTTTGTTTTGCTTTGTTTTTTTTTGTTTTTTTTTGTTTTTTTTTTTTTGTGGAACTGGGGATTGAACTCAGGCCCTTGCGCTTGCCAGGGAAGCACTTATTCTACTGAGCCATCTCCCCGGCCCCATTCTGTTATCTTTAATGGGAAAATATTCTAGACAAGCATCAGTGATTATATAAATTTACATTTAATATGTTGAAATGTCTAGATTATGGTGTTGATCTTTGCCTACACAATTGCCTATGAATAAAAGCCTCCTGATACATTAGATTTCTCATGGTGAAATTCCAGGCCTTGACCCAGGCCTCCTGTCAGACAAGCCATCATGCAGACCTTTGCAGGACTGGAAACCACACTTTAGAAACCTTCCAGCATCCCTCTGAGTTGCGACATGTGCAAGCCTAATGCACTTCATCATTCATATGATAAAAAGCCCATGAAATGGACTACAAAATTCTAGTTACTTGTTCTGAGCAGCACACTCCCAACACACACACACACACACACACACACACACGCACACACAGACACACACATATACATACCCTATCAGGCTTACCTGTTTTTTAGTGTGTTCATTATATTCCCCAGGAAGATTATGTGCACTTTTAATTAAAGTCTTTGCAATGTGATAATAATAAACGCTAATAATAGCAAGTGGTATGAGGAAATAAACCAAAAAAATGAGCACGGAATGAATCTTTGGATGTAATTCATTCGTCTGAGGGTAAGGTATGCATGCTGTGAAGCTGCTATTATCCAAGCTTCCAATATGCGCCACTTCTGAAAACACAGCTTCGGGGACGGCCAGCAGCACGGACACCACCCAGATGGCCGCAGCCTTCACGCAGGTCCACATCACCGCACCCGACATCTGCATGTCCAAGGGGTTGACGATGGCCCTGTACCTGGGAAGACAACACATCCCAAGTTATTCTTATAAAAAGAAAGAGAAAAACCTTACTTGGTAAGGGAAATGCCGGACACTTTCATTTATTTTGATCTTTTTGTAGAATACAGCAGGCCTTGCGTCCCTGGGATCACTCCCTATGGATAATAGTTACACTACTTTTGAACACAAAGGACAGGAAGAGAGAGGAAAATGGTATAAGCTGGCATTGCCCAAATTGCTGTCATTTGCTTATCTTTCTCATAGATTTTTTTCTAAATCTATGCACACTGATGAATATAATTTAAATCTTTATCATTACCATAATCACTGTGAATGAATAACTTAATACTAGAAGTCCATGATCATGGTATAAGACAACAAAATTCTAATGACATTCCTTTACATATTCTGAGCTTGATATCACCTACCTTCCTAATAAATCTTAGATATTAATCCAAATTCAAACTTTTATAAGAACTGGAAATGGAATAGTAATGGTAAAGGAACCACACTGCAGGGTTGAAAGAGATTTGAGTCTAAAATTCTGTAACTCAGTCACACAGTAAGGCAATGAGAATAAAAGCAAACAAAAATTGTACATGACTCTCAAATTATCTGTTTTTGTCTTCCAATAGATAATAACATGATGTCAGACAAAATGGAGGTATGACATCTCTGATGTCTTTGGGAAAAGCCATTTGTCTGGCTTCTTTTTTATTTATAAGGTGGGAACATGAACATTTTATGCTCCACATTTGGTATTTATAAGAAAAAGTTTAGGGCTGGGGAGATAGCTCAGTAGAATAATCACTTGCCTGGCAAGCACAGGGCCCTGAGTTTAATCCCTGTTACCACAAAAAAAAGTAGAGAGAGAGAGAAAGAGAGAGAGAGAGAGAGAGAGAGAGAGAGAGAGAGAGAGA